GTGGTCCAGAACCTTCCCCACGTGCAGCCCCTACCCCTGGTACTTGCTGACTGGACTGGCCTACAGGGACCTACGACCTTCTAGAGCCTACAGACCTACAGACAGAGACTCTAGGCCTCAGTCGACTCAGATAGAGACTTCTAGAACAGACCGTCCTAAGCCTAACGGCAACAGACCTAACTCCTAATCTACAGACCTAGGGATCTAGTCTCACACAGATCGCTGGGCCTATGTACAGGGTACAGGGGAGGTCTAGGGATCGAATCTCACTCAGTGCACAGGGTCAATGTACAAGGTACAGGGTAGGTCTAGGGATGGAATCTCACTCTGCACACAGGGCCAATGGACGACTGTACTTGAACAGGATCTGTTCTGTAGGTCGTACACTCTTCTGTACCAATGTACAGGGATTGGGCACAGGTCTAGGGATCAAATCTCTGTGTCTGCAAATGTCAGGTCTACTCGGTGAAACCATTTCAACTTCCTCAAAAAAAAAAAAAAGACAACAAAAGACAACAGGAGAACACACACAGAGGGCCTCGCTCCACTACCCACTTTCCATTTCCACAAATGACAAAGAATATGGCAGTGTATACTTCCATGTTCGAGCGGAAGATTCATTAACATTTTACACATTTGGGGAGTAGTGGAGCGAGGCCCAGAGAAGACAAGAAGAAGGGAGACTTGTGGTGGCTAGGGGTAAGGCATGGCATATGACCATGTAGACTGGGTCTTCCTTGACCTTTGCCTGGACAGAACGAACTTTGGGCCAATCTTCAGGCAATGGATTAACACCCTGCACCACTCATCAGCCACAAATATCACGATAAATGCGCATCTGTCTCCTCCATTCCAAGTGCAGAGATCAGTGAGGCAAGGGGATCCGATAGCCCCTCTACTCCTCATGATAGTCATGGAGGCCTTGGCCTCCATGATCAGAACCAACCCAGAAATAGAGAGAATAGATATCCCAGAATTGGGCCCCCATTTGGTCCCAATCACATCCCCCTTCGCTGACACCTCACAGTCCTCATCAAGCCATCCCCGCACAGTATGAGGGCGCTGGCAGATACAATACACCTGTTCTCCATTGCTGCAGATATGAAAGTCAACTGGGGGCTCAAAACCGAGGGCTGGTGGTCCCCTCCACATGGCAGGTGACCATCCTCCAGAAGAGTCCCCTCTCTCAACTGGAAACCAAAAGTAGAGGCCATACGAATATTGGGGGTAAGACTAATAACTGTTGGCCCCCCATCTGACCATGCGGCCAGGTTGGTGAAACTGCAATCCAAGCAATGGCCCAGATGGAAAGGGCTGCATACGTCGCTGGTAGGTAGAGCCCTAGCAATTAACAACGCGATTCTCTTCACCATCTGGTACAAGACAGCATTGTGGGCACTACCCCCCAAACAGTTGAATAAACTAGAACAGGCGATTACAGCCTACTTATGGCGAAATGAGCAACGACTGCAAGAATTGCAAGAAGCTGTTCCATTGGCATGGGTGAGAACGCTGAGGCAAGGGCCCGTTATACAAGTGGAGGATTGGGTGATTGAATCGGCTTCCCTCCTGGTGCCAATGGCTTTATATCAAGTGGCCGAAGAGCAGACGCTTTAGTCCTGCAAGCGGGATCTCATAGAACTTCAGGCATACGAACCGTCAGTCCCTGGAGCCAGACTTTCAAAACTAAACAAAAATGAAGATCTCGACTGCGAACTTCCAAAGGCAAGCCTCACTAGAGTGAGAGCCGTAGGGGACGACAAAGATGAGTGGTGGGCATATGAATCTGCGTCCCCTATATGTACACTCCCATTTGACCCTGCGGAGTGGCAATGGGGAGGCAGCAGACCGCTCCCGATTTGGAAGTTCACAGTAAAAGACTGTTATAGGAGGATCCATAAAGCCACCGATACGATACTATTCCTCAATCAAGATGTACAAGTCAGGAACAAAAAAGGACAACTCACCCCCGGAAGAAGGGTAAGGGGACATGAGCATAGGTAACTGCGATACGCAACAGTGGCGTAGTTTTCTTCTTTCAGTAAACGAGAAGGGGTTGCTGGCTGAGTGAATCGGAAGAAGCAGGACACAACTTAGAATCTGTGCCCAGTTCTCTTAGTAGCAGCCATGGGACTCACGTATAGTAGCACTTACCTTAGGCTGGCATGTAGGCAACCAACTGAGGCTGCTGTGTAGCTCTACCTGTAAAATTTCCTTCTTTGTAGGTGGTGGTCCTCGCAGCTTGCTGTCATTACAGTCACACATCTGTTCAAACAAACAACAATGTTCAGGGACGCTGGATCCGCTTTCCAGCAGGTGCTGCTACCCACTCCTCGGGAGTGCTAGCGGTGCTGTTATCAGCACCCCTAGCATCACCTCGGGGTTGTTTCTTTATAAAAAAAAAGAGTTCGTGTGTGCGAGAGTCCAGCTCACCTCGCGCGGATTGTCATGGACAATGCGAACGGCATCCTCATTCGGTAGCAACTCCCAGAGTCCATCCGATGCCAGAATGATGAATTCATCCTCTGGGGAAAGGATGCGTGCGGTAATGAGCGGACAAGAGGAGACCAATGGCGGGCGGAAAGGGTCTGTCACACGGAAGCGTGGAAATAAAGGCTCCCTATTGAACTCTCTGCTTTTCAAGTAGCAGTCCCCAAAAGAATGTGAGACCTGCATCCAAAAAGAGAAAAAAACATAAAATTCCACCACCAGGGTGCAAGGAGAAAACTTGTCAGCATGAGGAGAAAAAAGAAAAGAAGAAAGAAGAAAGAAAAAAAAAAAACATCATCAGCGTTTACCCCAATTCTTTTTTTTAAGTTTGTTCTTTTGTAACCCCCCCCCCCACTCTCCCCCCTTCCCCTTTTTCTTTTCTTCCCTCGAATTCTCGATATCTGACCGCAGATTACTCACTATGGTAGCAGGATGCTCATATCACCCCCTCTAGCACACCGGCACGGTTATTAAAAAAGAAAAAAGAAAAAAAAAAGATTACTCAATATGGTTGGTTTGATATCCATGAAAGGATTTTCTGTCTTCGATGTAAACAGAAAACTGTCTGAATAAATTTCAGTTTTTGTTCGCAATATTTTATGGAAACAAAAAAAGATTAGGAAGATCGAGGGCAGGAAACGAAGAATCCAAGTCCCGATATTGTTTCTGGGATGCAAGGAGACACTGGTTTGAACTTGATACCAGTTAACAAGGCATTGCACAAATCAAACTCTAACAAAACATCGCAAGAACAACATACGAACATTCACAGCATCCCCTTCAACAACAATTTCCTTCTCGACAACAGGTTATTTGAACTTATTCAGTGTTGTTTGTGAGGTTTCCCGTCCTCTGTTTGATCTTTCCTTGGAAAAAAAAAAAAACATAGAACCTTCACAAAGTTTGAGAGATGGGATGGGAATTAGATGAACTACGGCTTGAACAAGAGCATAATAAGCAGGTACAATTGTCGTCCAGATTCCAAAGTCTTTTTTTTTCTTTTTTCCTAAAAGTCAAAAAATTACCAGTGAAATCAGACTTGTCACAACTTGTTTTCAGCATGCACACAAACAGATGACGAATATGAACTGGCGCAACCACACCCACACAAAGCTCAGAGATAAGATCGTGGCCAGGAACGCAGATCATATTCAAACTTGTCCTGAATGGCTATGGCGCCCAGCGCCCGACAAAGATTCCCTCTCGATCATCTGTATCCACCAGCAACTTGTTTACAGGCACACACACACTCTTACACTTAGCCAGGATCACTGAGCCTAAAGAGGAGAATCCAGTCAACCCTACTATTGCCAAGTTGCTGGAAGAGTACGCAGAGTTGTCACAGGCTCCTTTAGGACTCGTACCGCGTCCAATCCAGCATCACATTGAGATAGAGCCTGGCAATAGAACTCCCAAAGGAGCAATCTATAGAATGTCTCCTAGAGAAGAGGAGTTGCGCAAGCATTTGGATGAGCTCCTCGAGAAGGGTTGGATTAGGCCCAATTCGTCACCTTTTGGAGCGCCTGTTCTATTTGTCCCCAATAAGGGGGGAGAGTTGAGAGTGTGTATTGACTACAAAAGTCTTAATGCTATTACAGTCAAGAATGCAGAACCACTGCCCCGTATAGATCTGTTAGACCGGGTGCAGGGCTGTAAGTACTTTACAAAGATAGATCTGAAATCAGGGTACCATCAGATTGAAGTTCACCCTGATGACCAGTATAAGATGACGTTCAGAACCAGATATGGGGATTAAGAGTTCATAGTGATGCCCTTTGGACTGACTAATGCACCGACCACTTTTCAACGTTGTATGAACGATTTGTTCAGATCGTGGTTAGATAAGTTTGTGGTAGTGTATTTAGATGATATTTTAGTCTTTAGTAAGACCCTCCAGGAGCATGAGGGTCATTTGAGGCTGATCTTGGAGAAATTGCGTGAGGCAAACTTCAAGGTCGATGCGAAGAAGTGCGAGTGGGCCAAGACCAAAATCTTGTACTTGGGCCACGTATTAGATGAGACGGTATAAAACTTGAGGACAACAAAATCGTAGCGATTAGGGGCTGGCCAACTCCCCGTACGGTGACAAAATTGTGATGTTCTTAGGATTGGCCAACTACAATAGAAAGTTCATTAGAAACTTTTCTACTGTCGCTGCTCCCCTTCGCAGACTGCTAAAGAAAGAAGCAATCTGGAAGTGGGACCAAGATTGTACCTCGACCCTCAGGAAGTTGAAACGGGCCCTAGTAGAGTATCCAGTCCTCAAGGTACTCAATATGTCCTTACCATTTGTCGTCACTATAGACGCGAGTCAATATGGTATTAGTGTCCTGTTACAGCAAGATGACGACAGTGGATAAAGACCCGTAGAGTTCAGGTCTGCTAGATTGCCTTCCGAGAAGGTCACATCCTCCACTTATAAGAGGGAGCTCTATGCTCTCAGGCAAGCAATAGATCACTGGAGACATTACTTGCTTGGGAGGCACTTTAAAGTCTATTCAGACCACAAGACACTGAGGTGTTAAAAACGCAAGATGACACCTAAACTTACTAGGTGGGCTGCTGAGATTGACCAGTTTAACTTTGAGCTTAAACTCGTTAAAGGAAAGTACAATGTCGTAGCAGATGCTCTGAGTAGGAGAGCTCATTACTTTGGAGCTATAGTTCACTACTTAGACATAGGGACTGATATACAACAAAAAGTGAGAAACGCATACGCTCAGGACCCTATCTATAGTCACCTCCTGAAAAAAGTTAAGGAGGCGATAGTGAACCTAATTCTTGCACCACGCACGGGTTACTGTTTGAGAAGACGGACGTCGTAGACAGACTGTGCGTCCCCAACAGTGAAGAGATCCGAAGTCAAGCCAAGTCATGGTTATCGTAGATCGTTTTAGCAAGTATGTTGTTTTCGTTCCTTTGCCCTCAGAGGCACGTATAGAGTTAGTTATAGAATTTTTTTTCGATTCCTGGGTAAGTGAACATGGTATTTCGCTATCTATAGTTAGTGATAGAGATACACGGTTTACCAGTAAGAACTGGTAGGAACTAATGAGAGTCTATAACTCTAAGTTGTTAATGTCATCTAGCCGTCATCCAGAGACTAACGGTCAGACTAAACAGATGAATAAGATGCAGCAACTACTCAGGATGTATATTAGACCCGACCAACTTCTAGCTGCTCTTTTTTAACCAATCGCGCGAACGCAAGAGCGCTGAGACAACAATGTGCTAAAGAACTATCTACTCCTGACACATGAAACAGGTGGGCCGTCTTGACACCACCTGAAGGGCTAGGAAACCTACACTCGTGCTCTCTCAAGTGCAGTGTGGCTCCTGCTGCCTCTCCCCAATCCATTCCTAAGACCATATCGAATGGGACGAGGAGAGTCAGGGAATGGAAGACTCTACCTTCCCATCTGCTTTTAGGCGAAAATATGCATGGAATCCCTCGACGTAATCCTCGATCCGCATCGTATGATTGTCGGCGAGGATACAGACTACAGGTCCTTCTTGCTTTTGGACAAGCTTTAACTTCTTCAGCGCTTTGCGACTACTATAACTACGGGTGGCCCCACTCTCTATAAGGGCCCCTACTCTAGCTCTAAAAAATTCTACATGTGCAATCAGTAGTTGTCCTTTATCTCGGCCCAGGCTGACATTCTCTCCTTCAAGCAGTCTCTGGACGGCTAACTAGACGCTAGCCAACAATCTCTGTCGTAGACATACGCGGAGTGGGAGTTTTTGTATGGCGCGCGAACTCATCTCCACGCAGTCTAGAGGTAAGGGCAATTGCTAGCCCTACCGCCGATTGCCTTTTGTTGCCTCAGAAGAAGCTCTCCGGGCACCTCTGTACCTCGGGCAAAATTTGATAACATGCCCGGGGTCACCGTAGAACACGCAATGAAACCTATCAATCCGGTTTTGCTAATCGGTTTGTTTGATGCCCAAGGTTTCCCAGGGTCGACCCTCATGCCAACCAGGGTGCCAACCACCCCGTCTGGGAGGTGATCGATCAAAATGAGGACGGTTTGTTAGGGGACCTTGACCCCTACCTCCTACTTGGCGGTTTCCTTTGCTGCGAACCCCCTAGCTGCCCTGTCCTCGACCACGAGAGGCCTGGCCACCTCGGCCTTGGCCTCTCTCCCTCCTCCTTGAGGCCTCCCTCCGGTTGCGACAACAACATAGGTACTCCCCTGACCTGCACTACTGTCTGCATCATCGAGGCCCCACTCTATATTGCTATAAGGGACCTCCTCTGCACCACCCCCCTCCATGGTCAGTATGAGGTGATCTTTGGCCTAGACTTGGCCAGAGATGGTGCCACTCTTCCACTTTTTACCCTTATCAAGATCCCTGTAGCAAAAGCAACAACATCCCTAGTCAATTGATCGTACGTCATTCCGAGTTGTTGCGTCCTCTCAAAGAAATGCCCTTACAGTTGCTCGGGCATCGCGCGGTAAAACAGTTGGACAAGTTGTGACTCTGTGACCCCGTGGTTAGGCACAACAACCAATTCATCCATAGCAGCCTTAAGAGCATGGGCGCTCCTCCACTGCCGTGTGTGAATGGTTTGGAGTTTGTCAGACGCCTTGAGTCCTCTACTGACGTCTGCAAATCGTTCTCCGAGAGCGGCAAGGAAATCACTCAAGTGAGTTACTGCAGAATAGGCGACCATATCGTTAGCAAAGCTAGTCGCTTTATCTTGCAAGTGCAGGTAAGACTTTACATTAGCCACCCAGTTATCAAAGTCTTCGCCCTTCTTTCCACTAAAGGGTTCAGGAAATCTGACCTTTACACGCTCACGACGCGATCGCCGCTCTTCTTCTTTGGGAACAACAATCTTGGCGCCCTCTATGGCGCCAGAGCTGCCCTCCATCACTGTGTGCAACTCCGTGCTCATGCGCAGCATCATCTCTTGTGCAAAGTCCTTAAAGCACAGCCGGATGGACTCGATAGCAAGAGCATCTCCCTTAGTATTCTTGACTTGGTCATGCTGGGCTTTCAGCATGGCAGCCGCAGTCTGGGTTAATGTGTCTAACTTTTGGTTAGTGTCTGCTTCTTCAAGCATATTTCCCAAACTCTCTTTTGCAGCCCTCAACTCCTTTTCTGCTTTCTCTACGCTTGTAACCTCCTTTTCTTCTCCCTTGCAAGACGCAACTTCCATTCCAGCAACTTCT